CATCATGGTGCAACACTGCATTTTCTTTCCTTACACTCTAGTACCTATTTCTCATTCTCAAACCATATGGGTCAGTTTTGTTCTCATTTCAGACCCACCAATCAGCAAGCATCACTACAGGTGTACCTCGCCTTATGGAAAAATATATACTCTTGAAAAATTGAGATGGAAATGTACTTTTGTAAGTGGAATCCTATTTTGAAGCCATCAGTTGGGCTCTGAGTTTAAAGGCAACATAGAAAGGGGTGGGATTTTGAAGTAGGCATAGCCACCCCCTAGCTGATCTGCTTTTTAAAACTTAGATCTTATAGGTAAAAACTATATCCTATTTTTTTTTTGATAGGCAACATCCTCAAAGTTATGATTATCCTGAAAAGACTGCATCGGCCTCCGTTATCTGACAAAGGAGTACTGGAAATAATGCTTTGTCTAAATTATCCAAATTTATTTACTCAATACTGTATTTCTTCCGAGTGAAAAATAAATCTAAGAGAATCATTTAAGACAGTAATTGAATAAACTTGAACTTTGGCAAATCCTGGTGATGAGTCAGAGGTTAGTGGTTTTTAACCTTTTCACTAATAAGGGACACCTCTCATTCCCTTGACATAGCCAATGTTCTGAAAGATTCTGTCTACGAAATAAATTGCATTTATTAAGGATACTGCCTTCATTTTCGCAGTCAGAGTTTCTTCTCAGTCTCTGCTAACTGTGTTAACCTGGAGCTGATTTAATTCCAAACAAAGGTAAAGAAATCTGGCATGGTGCAACTGCTTTTAAGAAATTTAAAATTTTCTGATTTCCAGTAAATTTTTTGGAATATTAAAATGACCAATGACTACTCTTATAGCTGTCGAAGGGTCCTGGGTCCTCAGGTTTGACACCACCCCCCTATTTAGTTTCAAGGTCACTGTACAGATCCTGGAGGCAGAAGAATTTCCATGAAAAGGAGGATGTGGGACTGTCAGGTCCAGCCTTCGGGCATCCAGGGACATTAGTGGAGAAGTCATAGAGGCTCACTGGTATTGCACACACTTAATGTGCCCCGAGGCAAGGTGGAGACACTTTCCCAATATGAAAGCCTTTAATCCTGACATCCTCTCCAGGTGGGTACAGTATGCCACCCCATTTCACAGACAAGGAAATCGAGGCACCAGGAAGTCAAGTGGTTTTCTGGCCAGGGCCAAGGTTGTACAGCTACAGTGGCAGAGCTGGGATTTTCGTCCAGGAAGTGTAACTTCACATCCCACACACTCAACCCTCTGCTATATTCCAGTCTCACCAGAAACCCACCAACGCTGTGCCTGAACTGAACAGGAGAGAGGGGCCTTGGGTTAATGCCGATACCTAGTGACAAAGACAGTTCCGTGGATTTAGTGAAAAGCACAGCATCCAAGGACTTGGAGAACAACCATGAGAAACCCTCCCAACTCCCATAAAGGGCAGACAAGCATTTCTCTCTCCTGCAAAAACACGAAGGAAATCCTTTAGTCTCTGAAATGGTTTTTCCTGTCTTCAGACAGTTTGACCAAAAAAAGAAAATCTGTCAACTTTCCTTTTTAATCTTCAGACTTTTCCTTAAAGAAAGTGAATTCACTCTGCAGTGCATGTGGAGCACTGTATTTCTCAGACTTCTTCCACTCTACTACATGAAAGATCAACTCCTAACCTTTTGCTGAAATCCCTTGCCTCGTAGCCTGTCATTCTCCATCTTTTGCTTATCATGCACACTGGAGTTTTTTGAGTTTTGAGGATGGTATAGATGCCTGAGTGCTGTGCTAGAGGCATTGCAAAGAGATCTGCTCACTGCTTGATTGCCAGCATACAAGGGTTATGTCACATGTGAGCTTAGCTCATCACAGTCACCTCAGAAGGCATCTGCAGAAAGAGGACCCTGTCTCTAGTATCTGGGCTAGGCTCCTGTGTGATCTGACCAATCAGAGGGGGAGTAGAGGATCACATGCCTGAGGCCTGGCCTCAGCTGCTCCCACGGAATGACCAGGATGGCGGCGGTGCCTGCTGAAGGCCAAGCCAGTTTAGGCAGCACAGGCCTTGGGGGGAGTCGGGCCCCTCCTCTCCCAAATTTTGCTGCTTGTCCACTGTCTTGGGATCTTGGCAGGAAGCAAGATCAGAATTTATGTCTCTGCAAGTTCTTTTCTATGTGTGCTCTTCCCTCAAGATACGGCATTTTATAAGATTTTATTATTTTAAATCAAGGGAACAGTTATAAAAATGGGGTTGAGAAACATGGGAAATTACACGAGAAATGACTAATTCATCTCCATACGTTCTATCAGTTTCACTGTGGTCAAAAACAGGTGTTTCCAGGCTATGAATAAGTAGTTTGCATTTTCAAAATTAACAAATTGGAGCAACACCAAGGGAAAAAAAACCAGCCATACACAGCCCACCAGAGAATTGTTTACCAAAGAAGATGAAGTTCATGGCGATGGTTTGCAAACACCACCAGACTAGCTTGTGTAAATTCCCTTCGTTTAGTCATCGTTCTTCAGCCTGTCACAGATACTGAGGGGAAATGCAGAAACAGGAAATTACAGACTATTTTAAACAACATGTTTTATTAAACTCACTTGCTGATGCACTTTATGGCAGGATGCGAGATTCAAGTGTTCATAACTTACATCTTTGAAGGGCTTTTCCTAAGTGAGTTCTCCCAGCTAAAATATGGCATGTACACAGGGCTGGAAGCAATCTCTAAACCAGTAACTGTTTCACCCCAGGTCATGTAGCTACATCACATAAAATGGGGAAGTTTTAGCCATGTGAAGAGAATATAGCTTGCTTACACATTATAGCTCTAAGAAAGCAATGGAGGCATCATGTAGTAACTTAAAAGATCCTTAATGCATTTATTTTAAATCACAGAATCAAAACGCAGCAATCTCACAATGAATTACTAGAAACCATACAATGTCTCTTTTATTATTTAAATATTGATTTTGTTCTCTTCATGGGACCATTCTGCATCTAGTTTAAATTATCATTGTTAATGCCATGCTGGATCCTTGTTTTTGAAAAGGTCTAGCAAAATTGTCAGGAATGTGATAACCTCAACCATGGACAAAATGACTTCAAATTTAAGGGGCTGTCATAAAAACAGATTTGAATAACTAATTATTTTCAAAAATATTTCCTGTTCACAATTTGTCTGAGGGATATAAAAGTCTAGCTGCCTCCCATATGAATCCCTATATCCTTGTCTGATATTTGTTGTGGTGTTGGCATCTCTCAGCGCCCATGAGCTCTGCAAGTTCCTCTCGGCTCTCTTCTTGACATACAGAAAGGAAGCAATCACATGGAGCTGTGATACAAGCTCATGGTTGGAGGGTGGGGAGCCACACTTTGACGGAGGTAACTATGATCTCTGAAAATAAGTATGTTCATTCAGTTGCTTCAGCATTTATTTAACAAAGCTGTATGTAAATGTTCTAAATTTCTATTGTCTTAAAAGACCATGCCAAAGATGCTTTACCCTAATTATTGATTTGTTGTCGTATAGTCACTTCTACCAGTTTTGAGTGGTTCTACCTTCCTCCTCGTCCTCAGGCCTGCAACCTTGTCCCTTCAAGGTGAAGTATAGAGTAATAGGATTTTAAGAGTGGCAACACATGATGATAACACTGTTGCTCTTTTTAAGTGCCTTTGCCAGACAATCTTCTACAATCACCCACTTTTAGAAAGGAAAGACCAGAGGCAAAGGTTAATGACTTGGTTAATGATATGTACCAAGATGCCTAGGGGAATAGCAATTAAAAGTACTCTTGGGGAGCTGGGCCATTTACCTAAGTGAAGATTTCCCCTCATTTAACTTGTAAAAGTCTGGATTCTGCTGTATCAGGTTTTCCTTAAAGCCAAGCACAGCAATGGGAAAAGGTGTTACTTCCAGGTGGGTAGACAGCAGTGTGAGGTGGAGGGTGTCTTAGTTTTTCCAATCTCTGAGGATATAACTACAGAACCCAGTTATAGATTTAACTTACAATGAAGGGGATGCCTTGACCACTCTGGAAAAATCTTAGTATCTCCTAAGTAGAAATGACAAGGCAGGCACATGGGAGGTCCCAATGCTCTCATGCCAACAACAGAAAAATTTTTGTTATTGGATAGGTGTTTAGGGATTTTTTTTTTCGGTTGGGGGAGAAAAGCTATTTTTTTAAGTATTTCTTTAGCAGGAAATGTCCTAGAAATAAAAACTTGATGACTGACATCTACAAATTTTAGTGCTGCTGGATTCAAAGGCCCCACTCAACCTACAGAAACGCTTTTGAGGGTTCTACTGAGCAGATGCCCGAGCTGCAGCTCAGGTGAATGCCGTGGAGAACCACCAACTCCATCATGGCACGACTTTGCCCATCAAGAAAAACGTTATCTGGGAATGCTGGGGGCTGTTAAGAAGCGAAAGGATCAGTCCTTTCTTTCATATTTAAATCTCCATGATATATTACACTCACAATAAGAATGCTACATTTAACAAATTAATTAGTTTCCAACTAGCTTTCCCCTCTTATCAAATAAAATATTAGCCACTAAGGATAACATTAATACAGAACTGTAGGGAACACTACTAGCAATGATCTGTGGCTGTTTGAGCCATTTACATAAGGGTCACTTGACAATTTGACATTTCCTAAAGGAATTGACTAGGATTCGGTGTTGATGGCTTCATATTATGCTATTTTTTTCAGAAATTTTGCAAAGTCTAAAATTTTCAGATTCTTTCAGATAAAAGCTTATCGATCCCCAACCACATCATTTACTAACATTATGCTCTTAATCCACAGAAATCTAAACCTACAAACTAGGACCATTCTGAAACACCTGTCAGATTGGCCTCTTCAAGGGTTTTATTGGCCTCTTGCATATTGAAAACTAATGTGTGGCCACGGCCCACCACAGTTTCTAGACATCTTGAGTTTTTTAAAGGAGAAAGAGCAATGGAAAAGAGAAACATAAGCCGATAATCATTAAAATAAGAAAATCAATGAATTTTGATCATTTTAATAAATATATATATCAAGAAAACCTCACTTTATTACAACAACACATTCATATACAAGCATCTATCATCTAAGTTTTCAACATCAAATATTTATCAAATATTGAAAATAAAGGACAAAACATTACTAGACTATTTAGCCATAACACAAGAACATGTTTTAAAAATTGGTCCTTGTGGACATTGTCCAAATGATGATCCTACTCATACACTGTATGAATGAGACCTATATTTAATATTAATAGCAATAATAAAAAAAGCTTTATCTTGGAGAAACTGGGAGGACTTACTTATTTCCTCCTTTTGGCATTTGGTTCCTGTGAAGCATTGTTTAAGTAGGCTCAAGTCAATTAGTAACCTTGGAAATTGGAATACGGTTTAGCAGGAGGAGTTGGCCGGAGTGGAAGGAAGGATGGTCAGAGTGGCACTCTGAACACTCTTGCAAATGTACAAATTAAAGAAATTATTGAGAAAAACATTGACCAAATACATAGTAGCGATTGCCGACTGAGTCCCATTTCTCCAAAATAACTCTCCAAAAACTCAAATCTTTACATTCTTTAAGATAAAACCTTATTGATCACCACATCATTTATTAACATTGTGCTTCTTAATTAACAGCAAAAGTCATATATAAAAAACCACATGCGTTTATAATCTAAACGAGTGAAATGATGCAAAACAGATTAAAGTATAATGCATGCCACTGGTTCATGAACTTCATCGGACAAGAAAACAAAACAAAACAAAACAACCCAAAACCCAAAAAACCCAGACCCCAGCAACAGACTGTTGCCATAGAAAAGCTCAAGCAGCTAGTGCTGGTTTCTAACAGCTCTCTCTATTGTTTCCTCCATCCCTTTCTAAAAATGCCGAATCCAAAAGCAATTGGGCATCAAAAATAAAGGAAGAATAGAGATGTCGAATCAAAAGTTGAACGCAACAGCTCGAAGTTAACAGTTTCCAAACAATATTGATCCACCCTGTGTTTTTGTTTTTTTCCTGTTTGTTGAATCCCTGCTGTAACTCTGATTTATCCTTAATTTTCACACTGGCAAAAATTAAGATAAAGTAAGGCACCAAAAATCGCCCTGTATCACCTCTCTAAAAGCCTCATCACCCATCACAGGCAAGCCAAGAACTTGCCAAGAACTTGCAGGGGTCACCCTCCACGTGTGTTGTTCGTTGCCGCCCCTAGACAGGTGGGTTTCATTACGTTACATCCTATTTCCATCTGTCACACAAGACTGTTAAATACAAATACTTAACAGCACCATGAAGCCATTTCATCCAGCTCCCTGTCTTCAGTCTTTTGTTCAGCAAAAATACCGCATCATATAGAAAAAGCAGACATCCTTAGCTGGTTATATTGATTTGCTTACCAAATAACTACCTAATTAATTGGCAAACATGTTGAAGTTTCTTAGCTAGTGACAGGCTCCTTGGGGGTAAAGGAAATATCACAAGGAGACATCGTCCCCCAGTCTAATCTACCGATCTCTTCTGTAGGAAAACTAAGGTGTAGTTTTAAGCATTAAGTCAACTGTTTTCTTGGTAAAATCACCACATTGATCAGTAGCTTGCTGATGCCGACTATACAGATGTTTTATGCAATCTGCTCTCCAGGCATTAAAACGACACGGCATGTTCATGGCATAATTTTATCAGTTGTACAAAACTATAAAATCCATTCAAAATAAAATTTATGAGAGCTAATTGATCATGCTGTGCATGCTTCAAAGTTTCGGTGAAAAGATGGCTCATATGTTACTTCCTTTGCCGCAGCACAGTTTGTTACTTGGTGAAGGCTCCTTTTTCCTTAAGGACTTTTTCCAAGACTCACTCACATTGTTTTTGTCATTATATCCAGTCTCAAAATAATCATAAAATTGGCCTTTGCACTCAAAAGCCAGGTCATTTCCCACAGGTTCATGGCTTAGGGGGCCGCCATCCCTGTTGGTGTCATTATTTGCTTTCTCATCATTTAATTTGGCCTTTTCCTGAACACCAAGGGACCTGATATTGGTAACAAAGATTTCATTGGCAGGTATCTGGTCATCACCCTTGTAAATAGGTGCGCTGCCTACATCAAAATCCACCTGGTGGGAACAACTCGGTAAAGGCAGAGGGGGAGAGGAAGAGGAAGATGAGGAGGAAGCGGAGGAGGGGGAAGAGGAGGCAGTGGTGGAGGCACTTCCGACATTAGCATTGACAGAAAGGGGTAAATTTAGGTAGTGACCACCACATTCTTGGTAAAAGCAGCAGGCATGAAATTTTTCACACTCCTCTTTGGCCATCCTCGGTCGTTTTCGATAAGGACAGTCTTGAGCCATAAACCACTCTTGGGCAGAGGTGCCATTGAAAGAGCAGGCAGGAAAGCACCAGTTATTCTGCATGATAATCTCTCCATGGATCCTTTTCATCAAATTGTTTATAAGGACAGATCTTCGGAGGTACACTTCAGGATCATCGATAAACTTTAGCTTTTCTAAGGACATGTAAAGGATGTGGGCTCGCTCCTCAAAAATCGAGATGGTCTAAAAATCAAAAAAGGAAGAGAAAACTTAGAAAATGGACTATAGACAAATATTATCACAGCACATTTCTTTCTTGGCAGTTTTCCAGGTCTGGGAATGTGGTGGTCTTGTTTCCCCCAGGTTCATTTAGCATGCCGTCCCCCGTTCCTGATTCATTGGTGTGGTCAAGCACCAGGGAATCCAGCCACAATGCAGACCTCAGCAGGGACAGGTCAGGTTGTTCACTCTTTCACGGCCCGTGAAGGGAATCCCAAAACACGCAAAACTAATCTGTGCTGTTAGAAGTCAGGAGAGCAGTTTCCCTGGAGGGCACAGAGGTAGTGACTAGAAGGGGACACATGGAAAGGCTCTGGGTTGCTAGTTCTGTTGCTTCTTGATCTGGATGCTAGTGACATGGATATGTTCCCTTTGTGAAATGCATCAAGCTGTACTCTTATGATACTTGTGCTTACATGTGTGTGTATACCAACCACATGCACACATACATATACACTGCACATCAATAAATGTTCTTAAAAAGATGCCAAGATGCAGGTCATAATGAGTGTACTTCAAACCCTGGCCTAGCCATCAAGGAGCCATGAGATCTGCCTTTCAGTGCTGTCCCTCTGCGTTTCATACTTGCAATTATCCGTGCTTGACAGAGGACAAGAATAATTAGTGAGGCTCAGACCCTACAAGGACCTGTCAGTTGAAGGACCAAAGCAGGTTTCCTTCTGGGGCCGGGCAGAAGAAGAGATAGAGAGAGGAAATTAGAGGACTCCCTCCTGAGCTGTGTGATACCATCACTGTGTGATGGGACAAATCCAGTAGCAACTGGAAAATGGCTACAACCACAGCACAGAAACTAAAAAGGAAATAAACTGCTGTGTCCTGGGGTCCAGCTCTTCTAGGTCATAAAAAAAACCAACTGGTAGCAGAACCCGAGGAGCTGTAAACTAAACCAGCCCAGGCTGACCAAAGGTAGGAACTACCCATGCAGGGGAAAGCCCAGCACCTGCCGATGCACCACGCTGATGTCGTTTTATGAGCGGGGTCAAAGCAACATTGAAAGGACGGGGATAGGGGAGAGGAAGATGTATTAAAAAATTAAAAATCCTCTCTGTATTTCAGATAACCATGGTCTAGGTTATACCCTCCTTGATTAAATCAGCAGATAGTTTTTGAAGGAAGATAACCATAAGGAAAACGAACTGGTATTGCAAAAGCTTAGATGGCCAGTTTCATACTTCTGTGCACTTTCCCGATCCCATTATTTTCTTCTTATACATGCAAAAAAGTTAGCTTTGGTCTTTTCTTGGGAATGAATTATATATTTTAACAAACTAAACATATGTAATGAATGCACAATGAAGTGTCTCTTTCTACTTTTGTGCCCACATTCACAGTCCACTCCTAAGAGGTCAGGAAAAGCCCTGAGTAACGACCCCAATGTGAGCACACACAGAAGTGGCACCAGCCAGAGGAGCTCGAGCTCAGAAAGGGGAAGCATGTCAGGAAAGAAGAAGTGCATTTCTGCGTATGTGAAAGTGCAGAATCACCACAACCCTTAATGCCATTTGAGAAAAATTAAATCATTAGTAAAAAAGACGTTCCATGGATTATATAATTTTGTTATTTCTGAGCAGAGGAGCTCTTGCTAGCTCTTTCTTCAAATACTCGTGAAAAATAACACAGGACCCAAAAAAGTGACAACGATTAATATTGCTCTGCTTGAGAAGTGGCTCATTTTCATTGCTTGGGTGGAACAATTTAATTTCTGGAAATGGATCAAGCGACTGTTACTTAGTATCTTAAACTCTTAATAAAAATAATGACTATTAAAAAAACATACTTTATGGCTACAGCTGCTGAGTGGTGGGTGAAAATCCTCTTCTTCCACATACTTCCTCTTAAAGTATGTGATCTTGGATGTTGTTATAGGATTTGAAATTCCCCTGTAATGTGATCCTGTGGTAATAAATCAGATATGACAAATGACATGCGGTTTGCCAGAGGTTCTCCAAACAAAATACTTTCCTTTCCTTCTAGAAGATAACTTGGCTACGTATTTGTCTGTACATGTGGTGATTAAAAATAAACATTTGTCTTAATAGTTGCTATCATTCGGAATCCTGTGACCCAGGCCAGGCAAGGATTTCTAGACAATTATACAGGAAAATGACATATTTCAGCATTTACTAAATACTCAGAATCTTAATTCTATGCACAGGCAAACAGCAAAATTCACAAAGGGGAGGAGTGTAACAACTCTGAGATAATATTAGTATTTATTCAATTGTTTAATTAAATCCATGATAACATAACACCACTGTTCAAATGTATACATATTTACCTGTAGGCACTCATAACCAAATGACTTTAAAATATTTTTGGCTCTAGGTAAGTAAACACATCATTACCTACACCTTGGATTTATAACACTGCCTCTTTCAAAAGATGAAATTCAAATTTTTAAAATTGTAAATTAAAATTTGGGGTAACAAAACCCTTTTTGCTCTCAAAAATTTAACATGTCAACCATGAATAAAAGTAGGGTCTAATTTTTAAAAACCACAGCTTTGAATCCTTTTCAGCAAAAACAGACTTCAACGAATACCTTTTTTGGCCAAAAAATAGTTGTTGTTTTTTTTAATTGCTAGTACTACACAAAAATCCAAAGGAACCTACCTTAGAATATAAGAATAAAGAAAATCAGGAAGAACATATTTCTGTTTTCTGGGCTTTGAAAAATATTTTTTCCTACAATACCAAAGCCAATTGCGTGTTTAATAAAAAGAAGAGACACATAGCTGCTGGCCCCAAGTGCAGATTCCTCTCTGTCTCTTGGGATAAAGATTTCACTGTCAAGGCCACTAGGGCTTGTGTAGCTCTGAGAGAACCATACAGGGTAGAAAACCAAAATCCAAGAGTTTCAAAATCTGGTTTGGTTCTCTTAAAAATATAGACACATGACATACAGGAAGCAGAAGCATATGTAGACTCGGATTTGAATGCAATTTAAATACCACCTCTGGTCCTCTCCCTGGAGCCCTGGGCTCTCTTACACACAAGAGGTGTACAGGCAGCCTGGGAAGTCCCTGGAGCAGGCGCTCTCTCAGCTCAGGAGGGCGCCATAGACACCACCCCCGCCCACCAGTCTGGCCTCAGAGGGCAGCAGAGGAAGGTCAAGGGCAGTACCTGCCAGCGGGGGACCAGCTCCCCGGTCTCCTTGCAGAGGAGCCTGTGCTGGCCCCTGGGGGCTCGGGCCTCCGTAGCTGTCAGCCTCCCATAGTGTCTGGTACCCGGCAATTTCAGCAGCTCCTTCTGAGACAATGGGCTCGCAGAATCTATTCATGGACAGAACCAGAGTCATCTCTGACAGCCTCAGACCTGAAAAAAAAGAAAACAGCCCTAATCAAGAGCAAGCCAGGGGACGGCCTTGGCATCTTCATTCCTTTGCTTTGGGAAACTTTTACTGCTCAGTCCTCCCCTTCACCCTGAAACATTTTATTATTTTTTCAAAGAAAACCTCAGCAAACTCTCTTGCTGCGATTAGCTCAGCCTCTGTGTTCAGCAATCTGCATTTCATGGGCGGATCTTTAAAACCCCATTTCTTATTGTTCTCAGATTCCCCTCAGCCCTCTTCGAGACAGCTGCTTCGCCTCCCGAACACATTTTCCTCCTGACCTTCCTGCAGAAAATGTACCGCTAAGAGGCAAGGCCAAAACCCTTGCGCTTCCTTTCTATTAACAAGGCAAAATCAATTTTCTAGTCAATCCCCGGAGAGTCTCCTTTGATGAAATCCGCTAATCAATCAAAAGAAAAGGGTGGGGGAGGCAGAAATCTCCACCGTAATCCCTACTGATGCTCTCGAGTTCTGTCTGTTCCGCTGCCCCTTGCCCCCTCCTCCTCTCGTTTCCGCAGGGCCAGTTCCTCTACAACATTCTGGGGCTCCCTCCACTTTCTTCTCCCAAAGCAAAGCAGACAGAGACACACTTGGTAGTTGTTTCCACCAGCCCTGATCGGCCTGAACTGGATCTGCCTCCAGTCAAAACACTGAGAGATGAAGACAGAAAATTGGCTCCAGTTTCAAGCCGTGAGTTGCAGTCCCACAGGAGCCAAGCACAACATCAGCGGAGCAGGCAGAATATTAAACAGGAGCCAGGGCTTCAGGGCCAGAGGCAGCCGACAACTCCTTACACTGCAAAGCCCAGACACAAGGCAGGAACTTTCCAAGAGGCAACACACCATTGCCCTTCTCTCCAGTTCACGTCCTCCCCCAGGGCCTGCACGGGGACTGGGAGCCTCCCTGGTCTGTGATGCGACCTGGGCTCCTCCCTAACACAGGTGGTGGTGGCCATTTCCATGTGGGCTCCGTGTCTTCACTTGGTCCTAAGTAGGGCTCAAGCTAGGGTCAAGAGTGAGTTCAAGGGAGATGAGGCTCTGAAACTAAAGTAAAAAGACCTGGGGCCATAGATCAGTGGTGACAGCAGAGCAGCCTCGGTGCCTATTAACCACGATTCCTTTAGGAGACCCAAACCTCGGCTCTCTCACTTTGCCGTTTAAAGAACTGTCACAAAGAGTGGTGTCAGGCCTGCCTTCTGAAGATTGATTGTCTTTCAGATATACACTACGGGTCTAGTTCTTGCTTTCTTCTCCAACTTATACAGCTCGTAATGTTTGGGGGAAAGGTTGAATCTACCATTTTCTCAGGGGAGATTAGTATTACCTACATGTTAGAACAAGAGTCCACTTCCAGGTAAAAGCGAGGAAAAACACCAGGGAAAGCGAAATGGCTTCATTAAAGTGCCAATGTCCTTCTGGCTAACAGGGCAGCTCTTGGCAGCAATGATTTCATCCTTCACCCAGGCTTCTCTCTGGATCCTGAATTCTGTCCCAACCGCATTGAAGAATGAAGCAAGCCCTTCTGACAGACAGGGGAGGTGTCCAGGTCAGCGGCTGGAGTTCAGAGCCAGCTGATTTGGGCTGCTAAAACATCTAGGCCTTCTTTTGTAAAATGCCCTCCATAGAGGCAGCAGCAAACACTTATTAGAAAATCTTGTTACAAGAGAAAAAAAAAAGAGGTTCAATTCATTCTCTAAAAAGAAGTGGTGGGGCAAGCCATTTATTTTATTCCTTGAGTCATGAACCAAGAAATTTAGACGACTGATTTAACAAAGTAAGCCATTCTGTCTATCACCCTTCAAACTCAGCATCCAAACAAGGTATCAAACCTCATGATAATTTATTCCCTGGAAGACTCCCATGAAATGGTCCAATTTCTTAACCTATTCTAAGAGACAATTGTATCAGGAAGTGCTATTGCCAGAAGCACATGAATTATAGCTTTTTCTGAGTCAGTAGCCCTCTCTTATGGACTGCCAACAGTATTTTCCAGCTTGAAATTTACACTCACTTTTGTGCTGGATTCTGGGAATAAGATCCAAGCTTTGTGCCTGTGTCGAACTTTTATTACACATAAACCTAACCAGGTTGACAAATCCATGCCACTTAAGAGAGTAAAGCATTTGCAGGCCCCTCGCAGCAATTACCTCTGTTTAATAGAACATTATATGGGGCCTGTGCTGTTTCATGTTACTAAGAGTTTGTTTACATTTTAATGACTTATTGTTGTAACTTTTTTGGTTGTTAAGGATTTCAGTGTTTCTATTTGTTAGTATTGTTTCCAGCACGTAAAATTCTATCATTATGCATTTGAACTTGAAACATGGCATAATCGTTTTTAATCTTGGCTGCTGCTTCCTTTAGGATATCTAATTTCAGTAAGCTTTTCTTTTTTGAATTGGAAACTTTTACACACAAAATCCTAAACTGGAGAGGCTGAGTTCCACAAGTGATTTATGTAAGTCTGAATAAAATAGAGGGGATTATTCAGGAGCGGGGAGGAGAATTTGCAACTGAGTCTTCCTAGTCTATTTACAATGGAATGTTAACAAATTAAGAAGGCAAGTTTAACAGAAATGAAAAATTGGAGTATGTGGCGCTAAGCACCAATTTCACAGGATTCTTTATTTGTATTATACATATGGATCCAAACTGTCATTATTCTCTGCATGATGGGATTTACATTATAATTCTGCTACTGAATTCACAAGTTGAAATCCACAAATTTATGTGCTATTAATATTAAATATAGTGACAAAGATGTACTTTTACGGCAAAATTTGTTTTTTTAACATCAGAGGTCAGTGGATTCAAAAGAAGGGCGTTAAAGTGTGTTTTGTCTATACATGGGTTTAAAAAACAAAAAATGAAAAGGCCCTAACCTGTTATTCTCAGGCTCCTGCCTGTCTTGTTTTGTCAGCCAAGTGCATGTAGTGGAATGACACCTCAAGCATTCCCAGAAGGCTGAGGGCTAAAATGTCAAGCTTTTCCGGCAAATGTTTGTAGTACAGTTACCAGGCATTTCTATACAATTTGGTTTTTCCAGATTAGTTCAGCTTGTCCTTTCCTGGGAGCCATGATGGTGCTAATAGGAGTGGCTGGTACATGGAACAAGGTAGCTACAGATTCAGTGGCACCTTGAATCTGACAGGGGCTCCTGGTCATTCTTTGCCCACCCCTACCCCCATCCATCATTGGAAACTGGAGAACATTTGATTAAGAGCATTATAGCAATTAGAGGTCTGATCCCAATACTGAAAAGCAGAGAGGTAAAGGCCTGATATTTTCAATGCACCTTTGACACTGCCAGTCTTAAATGTCCTGCCCAGGTGGAATCAAGCCCTTGACCTCGTTGTCCCTCACCGGATCTTCACAGCTTGTCCAGTAGTGGAAGGGGCTGGGTGAGCAGAATAAAATCCTGCGACCCTTCTAAATAGACAGATGTTGCTTTTCTGCCAGTCCCTGCAGCACACCTGTCTGCCCTGGGAAGTACATTTCTCAGCTGCAGCTCCAAAAGGCCAAGAGCTTTAGGCCGGGTCCCGCGGCGCTGGGAATGCGGCTTCTGGGCCTGAGGGGGCCAAAGGGGTGCCTGGGCTCCGAGCCCCGGCGTCAGATCTCCCCATCCCAGGTCCAAGACTGGGGTCCGAAGTTTGGAGAACCCGACAGCAGCCACCTCGTCCATGCTCCCACACATGACACACCCCCAGGGATCGGTGCCACAGCCCCTGATCCCCTCCCCAGGGCAGCCAGCCCAGCTCTGCTGGCCGCCGGCCGCAGGAGAAAGTAAACAACACCCCAAGTGTCTGGGAACAAAGGCAAGTTGTCTTTCCACTGTGCCAGAGCCGTGCGCCTCTCCTGAAGAATAAGAGCTATTATTACTCTTTCTTTCTTTTCTTCTTCTTCTTCTGTTTTTTTTTTTAAACCAAGTTTCCTTCTAAGGGAAATAAACACCTAAGGTAGGATTCCAAGGAAATGACTCACGGCGGTTGGCAGGGCTCTGGCGAGGCTGGCCCCGGCCCCGCGCTCCAGCCCGCAGCAGATGCCTGCCCGGCCCTCCCTCGCCGGCCAAACCCACTCGGAGCCCGCGGCTGCGGGAGCGCCCTGCGCAACCGTTGGACGCGGGCGGCGGGGACACGGCCGGCGCTTCCCGCAGGCGTCCGCCCTGTCCGCGCCCCCCTCAGCCGCGGGGCTGCCTCTCCCCCCGCCTTTGCGGCCCCAGCCGGGCACTCCGGAAAGTTGCTAGGGCCGAGGAGGCGGGAGGGGAGGAAGGGAGGAGAGAGGCGGAGGCGTGGACCAGGCGGGCAGCAGCCGAGCCCGCCGGGGAGGTGAGCTGAGGACAGGGGAGCCGCCGCCGCCCGCAGCGCGGCTCGGCTGCCGGGGAGGAGGGTGCGGGGGCGGAGGTGGCAGGGGGGACAGAAGGTGTCAGCTCCTGCAGCTATTCCCTTTTCTTGCAAACGCGCGCTCCTGACATCCACAATCCCTTCCTCCCCACCTGCCAAGCGCCGCGGCGATCAGACCGGGGGCATCCCTCCTACTGACCCCCGTCCCCTAGGGCAAAGGAATAAGCGACCACCGAGGACCCTGAGGTCTCACCAGAGCTGCCGTCGCCACTCGCCCCTTGAGTCGGCTCGGTGCGCGCTGGCGGCAGCCGGAGTAGCCCTAGAGGCGGCGGCGGTTCCCGCCCGGGTAGAGGCGCCACGGCGCACGCCAGCCCCGGGAAAAGCCCGCGCCGCCTCTGCGCCCAGCTGTGCCCTGGCCCTCGCGCCGCCCCCGATCCCGCGGCGGCCGGTGCGCGTCTAGTCGGTGACCCCGGCGTAGGCCTGGTGCCAGGAGGGCGCGCGGGAGGCCGCGTGGGTGCAGGTCCGCGCGAGCAGACGCCCGGGGGACCGGCCTCGCCCCCCACCAGCCTTGGCCCTCCGCCCCGCCGCCCGCGCCCGGCCCGGCTCTTACCGCGGGGTCAGCCGGGAGGCGGCGGCCGCAGCGCTCGGGCTGCCGCTTGTCCGCTCTGGGATCGGCGCCAGCCCGGCCGCTGGTGCACGCTCGCGCCGGTCCCGGCCCGGCAGTCCGATCGGAGGTGACCGCTGGTGCGCGGCGGGCGAGGGTCCCGGCAGGTCCCGCCGCCGCGACTGGGGCGCTGCGCCGCCGTCGCTGCAGACGGTTATGGTAATGAGCGGCTCTGTCTAGCGAGGAGCGTGTGAAACCCGTCAATCCTGTTTGCCATTTCCCCGTGGATTTCCGAGGAGAGGTTCTGCAGGATGCCCCCAGGGTGAGAGAGGCAACATGACAAGCGCGCCCGCTCTCCCTCCCTCCCTCTGCTCCCGCCGCCGCCGCCGCTCCTCAGGCAGCACACGGGGCGCCTTCCCCTCACCCCCACCCCAGCCCGCCCCCTGCCTCCTTCCCTCCTTCCCGCCCGCCCTCCTCGCTCTCCTCCCCTCCCCTCCCGGTGCCCGGGGACACGCGGGCCCCGCTCCAGCCCGCAGCCCAGACCCCACGCGCTCCCGGGCTCCCGCCCCAGCCCTGGCGGCTTGGTTCCAGCCGAATAATGTATTCGCTCTGCAACCTTCTGAGATGTCTCCTCGTTTTTTATTTGGTTTAGTTTTGTTGTTGTGTGTGCGTGTGATTAAAAAAAAATCTGTGCCTTTCCCACCCTTTGCAAGAGACTTTCTTCTCCTTTGCTACAGCAAACGGAGATGAGAAACAGATGTCTTTGCAGGACCGAGTGGTTAGTTATTCTCCCCTCGCCGCCCGCCCCCGCCCCTTCCCCTCCGGAGCTGCACATGTACAAAAACGCAACCTTGGTCCTGCTGCAACTTGAGTTGGCAACACTTTCTGGGTGGGGAGCCTCCAGGGAAAACCTCCAGGAAATAAAAAAGTAATAAAAGAGGTTGTTCTTGGTCAAGAGAATGTAATTTAAGCCCTGGAATCACATTATTTTGCAAATAGTAATTTTCCCCTATATTGGGCTCACTTGGAGTTTGTTTTTTGAAACATTAATTCATAACTTCTGTCTAGGGACCCCTCCATCGTCGAGATGGGTCATTTCAGGTGTAATGAACGCGCTGGCTTGGAAGGCACAGACCTAATAAAATCGAGAGAAGGCACCTGCGCAAAAGTGTTACAAAGACTATAATATTTGTTTACTGCTACTATGCCAGATGTGCTAAATATAACGCTTCTTTAAAACAGTGATCCTCCGACTGTGAAAAACCAAACCTCTCGCTGCCTGGCTCCCTAGGAACCAAGGAGAGGCACAGACTGAAAATCGGGGAGAAGAGGAACAAGATCAAGGACGAGGATTAGCATCTGCAAATTGAACTCCATCTAATTTGCATGTTTATTTCTTAGAATTGTAATTAAATTTGTGTAATAAATGTTTTCCATTTCATTTGTACACTTAAAATTTGGGTGACTGACATGCAGTTAAGTGAATTTCTTTTTTTTTTTAAGCAAATGTAGTTTATTGAATAAATCAGCAAACAAATATTAAACACAATTAGAACTAATCTGCTTTGAAGGTATTTTTGTTGAACTTTGTCCATTAAAGACTCTCGGAGGTTTTAAGGGTATTAGGAAGCTGAGAGAAGGCAATTATGCTGAAAACAGACTAACTCCACAGACTTCCAGGAGCATTATTTCATTTTTTCCAAAAGACATTTTGGGTTGCATGTCTAAAATTGGGAATTGGGCCTCGATCTTGGTTTTATTCTGAACCATATTAAATTTCATTGGTTCATGCACGATATAGGCCATTATGATGACAGTTTAGGAATTGTAAAGATGCCATTTTGTGCAATCAATGGGTGTTGCATGCCCATCTTATGAGTGGAATAAATTTTCTTTCAGGTGGAAGAGGTGGGTAAGGAAAGGCATAAGGGCATTTAAAAGCAGTGCAAGTACTTGAAAATCTAAATCAGTATCTAAAACTGGTTAGTGTCTAACTGAAATAAAGAACTAAATGTGAAGGCTTGGAGGCATGGCTTATTGTTGTTTTTATCTCCCTATATTAAAGTTTTATAGCATTTAAAGGACTTTGGGGAAATCCCCACATACACTTGGCTCTGTCAAAATACATAAAACCAAAAGGAGCAAATTAAGCATAAAATTGGGAAATAACATGAGACTAAGTATCAGCATGGGTTGCATTGGCATCTTTGGAGCTTTGGCTCTGAGAAATGAGCCTTCTGGGAAACTGGCATTGCCCTTGGGTGGGGAGGATTCTTGGCTTTAATGTTACAAGACAATGACATCACAACACCAGTAAGAAATCACCGTACTTCACAGCACCCATGTGGTTCTGAGTATGAACTTGACCCTGTCCTGTTCAGATACCATGTGTTAGCATGTGTTACTGACGGCTTTCCCTGCCCTACTTTTAATCTCAAGCTTAGTGTTTTCTGAGGTTCAGTGCCCAACTGTTGACAACATGGACCGATGTCTACAAGTAGAAAAGGCAGTCAAACGTCCACAGAGTGAGAACCAGCATTTAAAAATTAAAGTGAATAAGTGGTGGCTATGGCACAAGAAAAGAACTAACTGTAAATCAGTAAGGAAATATTTGGAATGAGTGAATGTAATTTATTATGAGTTGCAATATTCAACCTGAGAACTATGATGTCATCATTTTTGGAGACGTGTGTGTGGATGAAGTTCCAAGATAGAAATTAGATTATAAAACTTAAAATACCCTGAACTGCAAGTTAACTGAAGGAAGTGACTGTTTTTCTTCAATTAACAGAGGGGCAGATGCAAAACTGCTGAAACCCATTTCACAAAAGCTTGGTGTCATTGGAAAGGGGATTTCTCAAGGAAAATTTGGCTTATGCAGATTGCTCTGGACACAATGCTCATTTGGATTAATAAAAAGTCTGAATTACCAGCATTAAAAAAAAGTACAACATTTTCACAGCAAAAAGAGGTGTCTATATTCAATCTCTTCAATTCCTCTGTTCCCATTCTTGAACCTTCTCCAATTAGGCTTCCTTATCCCATCCCTCCACTGAAACTGTTATTGTCACTGTCACCAAAGACCTCCGTGTTGCTAAGTCCAAAAGTCTTTTCCTTGTTCTCATCTTCCTTGACCTGTAAGCAGCATTGGACCAAGTTGATCACTCTCTTGAAACACCTTTTGTCCAGCTTCTAGAGCAACATATACTCACCTGGCGTGACTCCTTCCTCACTGGTTCTTCCTTCTCAGTCTCCTTGACAGGTTCCTCCCCTTCTCTATGACCTCTGAATGTCAGAGGGCCTCAAACTCAGTCCTTGAACCTTGTCTTTTCCTGTTAGCCACTCTCTTGTGGTTCTCACCCAGTTTCACGGCTTCACATACCATCTGTATTCTGATGACTCCCAAATTTAGATCTCCAGACCATTCTTCTGACTTCCAGTCCCCCCTTAGAAGTTTACACACAAGCTTTACAGATCCAAAACCGAACCCCTGATGGTCTTTGCTCCCCCAACGACACCACCCTTAATATTCTCCATTCCAGTGAATAAACCACACTGGTTTTTTTAGTTGCTCATGCAGAAAACTTTGGAGTCATCCTCGACTCTTTTTTTTCCTTTACCCCCTACATCTAATACATCAGAAAATCCTTAAGGCTCTACTTTTAACATTTTTCTAGACTCTGATCACTTATCATCATCTCTACTGCCACCACCCTGGTCCAAGCCACCATTATCACCTCTTGCCTGGGATATTGCAGTAGCCTCCCTGATTCGTCTGTTCTCCCTGATTCAGTCTTTGCCTCTTTCTACAGTTCAGTCTCAGCTCAGCAGCGAGTGATGTCAATTTTTGCTAAGACTCTTCCTAAGGGTCGCATTTCACTCATTGTAAAAGCCAAATACTTAGAATGGTCTACAAAGGGTGGAAGTCTCCCTTTACTTCTCTAATCTGACTCTGTCTCCAGCTGCTCTGGCTCCAGTGTATCAGGCCTGTGCTTACCTCAGGACATTTGCACTGGAATGCTCTTTCCCCAGATAGCTGCACATATCAGTGCTTCACTTTTTCCAAGTCTTTGCTCAAATACCACCTTCTTAACAAGGTGATATTTCTAACTCTTAAAATCCTAACACTTCACCTCCATATCTTATTTTATTTTTATCCAGAGGATTTTTGCTTTCTAATAAGCTCTATATTTTACTTATTTATTCTATTTATCACTGATCTCCTCCCACTGGAAACTAAGGTCCATGAGGGCAGGGATTTTTGTCTTTTTTTTTTAATGAGAAATATTTATTGTGGGTAAAGTCTTTCTTTTTTCTTTTTCTTTTTTTTTTTTTTTTGGTGAGGGAGATTGGCCCTGAGCTACCAACTGTTGCCAATCTTCCTCTTTTTGCTTGAGAAAGATTGTCCTTGAGCTGACATCCATGCTAATCTTCCTTTATTTTGTATGTGAGATACCACCACAGCATGGCTTGATGAGCAGTGTGTAGGTGAAGGCCCAGGATCCAAACCTGTGAACCCCAGGCTGCTGAAGTGGAGCACGCAAACTTAACCACTATGCCACTGGGCCAGTCCCAAATTTTGTCTCTTTTACTCACTCCAGTATCTCCAGCATCTGGTACAGAGCCCGGCACACTGAAAGCACTCAATAAATATGTGTTGATTGATTGACAACTGACTGACATCTCACATCCATACAGAAACCCAAACAAGGCTACTAGAGCTGCTCTAGTCTAGTCTGATGAATGTAGTAGACGTAGCTCATCTGGTATAGTGTATGTAGAATAGTGAAATAAGCAGTTCATTTTATCACCAACTCATTTGCCTCTTGTAGCATTCTCTGGCCCAGGGCTCTTACCTGCTCTGCAGCATTCCAGGACCTGAAGACATTCCCAAAATCCCAAGGTACCAAACGATTTCATGCTGCCCTACTTGAAAGTCCCCAATACAATATTTCATCCAAGTGGATGCTGGTGCTCTGGACCAGCCCTCCTTTCCCCCAACACAGATTTTCATTCATTGCCAAGATGCTTGTCCTAAGCTAGAGTCTTATAAAATGACAAAGTGTGTAAAGCTGCTCTCCAGGACCCTGTAATGACACTTCTTGGCAAAGCCACCCGTTCAGAAGCCAGGAAATCCTCTACTGTCTTTCTCATCGTCCTTCAAAACTTGCTCAGAAACACTTCAATAATTATGCTCATTTTATATACAAGCATTGAATTAGGCACTACAGGTGAAGTGGAGATGAATAAGACACTGTTCCTGGACTTATGGAATTGTCAATATAGCAAGTAGCATAAGACAAGCATAGAAATCATGGTACTGTTAAGTAATCTGAGGCATAGTAGATGCCATGGGTGTTCAGCAATGGGACAGATCACATCCAGCTAGGGGGAGTCAGAAAAACTTATTTAAGAAAATAAAATCTGAAGTTGACTTTGAAGGAGAGGTAGGCTCTTTATGGGCTGAAATGAGGAATGGATGAAAAGTATTTCAAGTAGAGGAAACCATTTGAGGCACAGAGGTTGGAAAGCAAAAGGCATCTTTAGACAATAGTGAATATTCCAGTTGTACTAGAGGGGTAAGGTATGTGAATGTAGACGGGAGGTGAAGCCATATGATAATAAATTTTGAAAAACAAGATGAGTCTGATTTTAACGTATAAGCAATGGGGAGCATTAAAGATTTTTGAACTGGAGAATAACATGATCAAAGCCCAGCTTCAGGAAGAGTAACATGTGGTGGAGAGTGGTGTTGGGGAGCTCGTTCAGCAGTCCAAGTGAGGGGAATGCGGGTCTGTGTTAGAGTGGTGGCCCCTGAACCGGAAGAAGGAGACAGGTGTGAGATATTACAGAGCTGGAATATTTAGGACCTAATCATTGACTGGTTGTGGGGAAGGGAAGAGTGAAAGATAACTTCTATTCGAGTTACCGTGTGGCTAAGTGAACCCATGACAAATGAGAAGAGGCAAATTTGAAGGGAATATAATGTGTGGATTCCGGTTATGTTGAGTACGAGATGTTCATGGAATAGACAGGTGGAGATATGCAATAGACAGCTAAATAGTCTGGTCTACTGAGGATAAAATTTAAGAGCAAAGTATAAAAATTTAGGATTATTTCCGTAACTATTGAGGTTGAAGTCTTAGGACTTAATGAAATAACTGAAGACATTACAGAATTTAATAGCAAAGGACTTAAGTCAGCACTTTGATGAATCCGATAAATGCATTTATTCGGAGGTGAAAATAATGCTTTGGCTTAACGTGTGACCTCTTTCAGGGGTATTTGTATTTACAAATGGTGTACAAAGATGTACAAAGACCCTTTATGCTTAAATTTAAAGGAAGAAATTTGGGATGATGTGATGGACTTTGGGTAACGGGCCGTCTGCTAGCTCTCCCAACGTGACGATGGAGACATGGTTATACGCTGTGCTTCCTCGTGTGGCTGAACCTACTGATTTACCATCACAGGAAAGGGATTTGACGTGTCATCAGAGAATCCTGAAATAATCCTTGAAAAGATGTAAATCATTGATAATGAGCTTGGAGTGTTCTCTCTCTCAGGAATATTTGTATTTTAATAAGAGTCTCCTAAATGCCACAAAAACTTTAATCAAAGCAATTAATAATTGATGACACGATTTCAGATGTAATATAATCCAATAAGTATTATTTCTGAATGGAAATCACACAACATATATATAGTCCTTTGCTCAGGGTATTATTCTGGGGGACTTATATTAATGAATAGGTAGGAACATTTACAGTAAACAAAGCAATTATTTGTAAAGAGATGTTCTTCTAACATACTTGGTAATTTTTGCTATTAAACAATTTCCATTGAAAAACTTTTTTTATTACATGTTTTATTTATTTATTGAGGAAGATTAGCCCTGAGCTAACATCTGCTGCCAATCCTCCTCTTTTTGCTGAGGAAGCCTGGCCCTGAGCTAACATCCGTGCCCATCTCCCTCTACTTTATATGTGGGACGCCTGCCACAGCATGGCGTGCCAAG